TGCTCTCTATCGACTCTCCACCGAGGGTCCAGGACTTCATTGCAGAACACAGCAGAAAGTACATTGCAACACAAAAGTACAGCTTTTATGCTCCATAGCCAAAAAGGCAGTTTCCTTTCCTCACCCCAAAGCTAAGATTTAGAAGTCTGGAGTCTGTCATGTGCTCCTGTGTGAGGGACCCAGGCTGCTGCCATGTAACAAGGCTTGTAGTTTCTCCGGGCAGCAGCAGGAGCATGGCCATCCTCTTCACAGGCAAGATGTGGAGCTAGCTCGTAACTGGTTTCCCTAGTTTGTTTTGTGTGTCTTCTGAAGTATGTTCTTGCTTCTTGTGTGAATGCTGCTGCTACCTCTTTCTGCCCTTGGGTCTTGCTTTCTCCCCTTGCTGCCGTGCTCTGTTCTGCTGCTCGCTGCATCTCAACCACCGTTCGATGTGGGACAGTTTGTGCTTTCTGGCCCAGTCTTTTTTTAGCAGGCGTATCTGGCTGCTGGCATCCTTCTTCCTCTGCCCTGCTTGACCTCTCCATTGCTTTATCTTTCCCTTCTGTATGTATTTTTATGATGTCAGATAGGTGTTATCACTTAAGAAATCTTTATCTGGAGGATGTGCCCTTTGCCAAACTTACTGTAATATGAAGTAATTTACCAGCAAAAACATGTTTGTGACCTCTGAGATACCAGGGTTGTCTGCACAGGGAGATAGTAACAGTGTGATTGTACAGCTGGAATGTAGCAGTAATAACTCGCCATGTGGATGCTTTTATTTTGGACTAAGTGTAGTTACAGCCATGTCGTTATAGTGCTTCAGTTCTCCATGCAGATCAACCTGCAGCCATGGGTGACATTTCTCATCTGCCAACATCCCCTCTGATCGGAGACACCAGCTTAGGAAACTTCAATTACAGGGAGAGAAAAATTGTGGAAGTTTTTTAGGCTAAAGTTAACTCAAAATGCAGCATTGATCTAGCTGCTGAACAGGGTGAAAGGGGCTCTCCATGTGAGTAGCACAGGACTCTCTCTTCCAGAGTTCCTAAGCTGAACAGCTCTAATTGCCGTCCCCGTTATCTTCAGGGGTCACCACATTGGGAGCCTGGTTTTCTTCTGAGTTTTTATTTGCACTTTTAATGGTTTAGTGCTGTTCTAGTCATGGTGACATCCTTTTAACCTTCTTCCTAGTGGGGTTGCCCGGTCGCCCTGTGTTTTGTGCTGCTTGCAGGCAGGAGATACTGACTGGACAAGCTGTAATTTGTTCTTGTTTGGGGTTTGGCTTCTTTTATGTTATAAGTGGTCACTGGGAGCAGGTATGGGATTGTGGTTGGCTGCTCTCATTTTGGCTCCTACCATTAATCAATCCTCGGTCCGGTCCCAAAATGAAGGAAACAGGATCTCCTGAATGTAATCTGTCAAAATTAGTCTGTATTGGGTAGTATCCCTTTAGCATATGTGACCAGGGGCCCTAAGTTGCTTAACAACTATTTAAAGATATTTTTCTGTAATAAAAAAACTCAAATCAATTTGGAAACAGTACCAAGTTCTTAGTTTGCTGACCAGTCTCTAGCACATCTCTAGGGGTGGATGTATTTAACAGTAGAATGGGGTATCTTGTAAGTGTGTGTGCACAGGGAAAGATTAATGGATTGATACTGGGTGTGTGTGTGTGTGCGTGTGAAATTTGGGATCCTCAGGTCTGAGGATAGGCTTGTAGGTTCATGGGCTTGGTCGCTGTTCTAAATAAAGATGTTCTTTAACATTGCCTTGCTTATTTTCTTAGACCTTCACTGGTTCATCAGTACTGCTTCCCTTAATGGCATGTTTTCCTGCAGTCTTATGCAAGGCATCGATTTGCCCTGGGAAAGTGCTCACATCTTGCAAAAATAAGGGCTGAAGGGTGTGCGGGGGGAGTGCCAATGTCATTCTGTAGGACACAACTCCTTTCTGCAGAGCTGACCAAGGACCAGAGTACCTTGTTCCTCCCAGCCCTTGTTTACAGTTCTCCTTGGCTGGCTTCTCGCTGTTATGGAGAGCACTCTGCTTTGGCTGTGTTTGCTGTTGTTGGCACTAACAGGTCTGCAGGGAGGAAGAGAAAGGAGACAACACATCGGTGGAACGGAGTAAGATTGTGGTGGGAAAGGGGAGAATGTTTAAATTACAGGGCATTGACTGTAGTAACCAGAGAGCAGGAATTTGTCTTGGTAGGGTCAATAAACATACCAGGAGGGTAGGGGCTGTATTAGCAAGATACTTGCTAAACAATGAATTGGCTAAAAAACAAATTAACTAGGAAATCAATAGATCAGTTACTATTTAGGATCCAAAAGCTGGGCAAGATAAATAAGTCACGTAGCAATTTAAATGAATTTAACTACTTAGAAAGAATCAGTTGCTATTAAACAGAACAAATAGGCACTAAAGGTATCTGAGTAGTCAAATTCCTCCAGCAGATGTGACCAACAGACGCCTAGTAGTGCCGAGAGCCAGCTCCGTGGTGTGGGAGAGGAGACAGCAAACACTTTGGGGCTGTGGAGGTGCACCCTGCCTGGTTCTTGCCCCTTGGGTTTTGTGCCTGTCACGGTTCTCTATGGGTTTGTGTGCTCCTGCCAACTCATGGGGCTTTGCTTGGTGGACCTTTGCTTTCTCTGATGCTCAATCTCTCTCGAATCCTCCTTTCACGTGTTTCACATCAGAACAGTTCCTGACAGATTTCTAGCCTTTAAACAGAAACAATGAAAATGGAAATGAAATGCCCGTGTTCGCGTCGTGTTGCAGTGCTCCATCCCGCTCGTAGCTGGCGAAGGGGATGGCTGGTGCCAGCTGCCGTGCCCTCTCCTTGCCGCTGGAGTCCCCAGACCCGAGGCAGCAGTTCACACCAGCAGTGTTACTTGCTCCAGCTAACAAGTGGCCTAGATATTTTGGCTGCTGTAAGGAAATGAAACCCAGCAGTATGTGTGGTCAAGGCCAAAGCCTAATCCCACAGAGTAAAGAACAGATGGGAGGAAACCCTTTTCACTTTTGGAATAATTCACATCTGGGCTGGCCAGAGCATCCTTGTGCTCTACTCCTGCGGACAGCCAGGAAGGCAGCCGGGATACTGACAGATGCCTTGGCTAGCCCTTCATTAGATCTGTGGAGAAAATCAGGACAAACGGGAGCTGTTTCTTCTGATGCTGCTTTGCTTCAGCAGATGTTTACAAGCTGTGCCTCTCGGGGCTGTGCCTTGGGGTGGGGAGGACAGGAGATCAGTCCCTGGCCCGTTTGATTCTGTGCACTTTTTGCCACAGATCTGGGTGCTCCTCAGGTGTCACGAGCTGCGATGGTTGTGTCCAGAATGGAGAGGGCAACTTCTCTGTTCAAAGCACCTGGTTTTGTTCGTTTGGGAAGGCCTCTGGTGGGGCCACCTCTCTCCCCGATACCAATTTTAGCCCGTGTGCTTTGCTGTCCTGGCACTTTCCTTCCCATTGCTGCTCTCGGGAGATCCTGAGCCGCGCTGCCCAGCTGTGGGGAGGCGAGGTGGGGCTCCGTGCCAGGCTGGGGTGCCATGGGCTCTGCACTCTTGCACTGGGGCTCTCGCAGCCAGTGGGTCCAGCGCTGAGCGCCGGCTGCCAGACTTGGTGCTGCTCCGGAGAAAGCACCCACGTGCAGACTTTCCGTGGATCTGATGAAGGTCCTCGATAAAGCCAGTGTGTTTGCATGAGGCTCTTCACGGACTCTCCTGGTAACTGGTGGCAGCAGCTGATGTTCCCACCTGCTTCTGGCAGTTCTAGCAATGGTACCCATCGTACAAGCTGGGTCACCCTGTGGGTCCTGTCCTTATTATTGAAGATGGACAGAGAAAACCTCATGAAGTGCAATGGCAGTTTTTCTTGTGACTCTCCACTAAACCCTGTGCTGGTAGATGGGACTGGAGTGGCGTTGGAAGGGCATCTCGGGGTGTTGTGTGTGCCTGCATGCAGTGGAGCATGCTCCGGAACCAGCAGTGGGGTGACTGTGGCTGTATTCAGGTATGTGGTACGGCTTGGCTGCCTGCTACTTCTGACAGCATGTTGTTTGTTATTGTATTTGTTGTTGTTATTCAAGCTTGTAACCGTTGAGGAGCAGAAGTTCATCAGGGAAGAGTTATATAACACTGGAATCTTAATTGTCTGGGATCCAGCACCATATCATGCGGAAATTCATGAGGTAAGACTGAGTTTTCTGTAAATAAACTGAGATTTCTATGCTTTGAAGTGCATCTGTTAACCTGCTTCCTCTTCATGTGGGCGGCCACTCATTTAAAGGACATTCTTGATTACCTCTTTGTTATCATGGATATATCCATGTGTACTTCTGAGCACATGTGAATGTGTACTTCAAAGGAAACACTTGCCTGTTCCCCATCCCTGTGGAGGGCCTCAGGCCAAGTGTAACCTTTAGTTAAAACCTTTAGTTTCACATGGGCTGATGCTGCAGGGAGGAGGTCACTGGTGGCTGCAACAGTTGTCATCTCATCAGAGGATGAGCTTCTCTTTCGGACAGTTACTGTAAGACTTGCTGATGATTGATGCTTAGATATTTCAAGCACCAGTCAGACATGGGATATACCTGAAGCATTATGAACGGATTGGGAAACCCTCTGAAGATCCTCATGTCTCCTCTCCGTGTCAGCTAGACTTTCACTTGTGGGTGTTGCAATCCCTCTAGCATTCAATTTTCTTTTTGAGTACAAAAGGGCGTTATTTGAAAAGTGATGAGCTTTGAAGGCTCAGGGTGAAAGCAGGTAGGAGTTGAATAGTCCATTCTTTACTTTTATTTTAAGCTCTGTCTGTAGCTGAGAGGTCTTTGCATTCCTTTCTCTGGACTGCATTTCCTATTTTCTCACTGATGTATATTCTTGTGTGTAGTCCCACACCTCCAGGATACATGAGGGTGTATGTACAACATGTTTAGGAGTCGTTAAAACCAGGATGAGATATTTTTAGCATAGGAAGAGAATTCTCAAAATGACTTTAAGAAAACAGAAACCCTTCCTAAATGTTTTTACTGAAAAGGAAAGTTTTAGTATGCAAATCAGCTCAGCCTGGTTTAGGAGGCTCTGCTGGGGACATGTGCCTGTAGAACAGGACGCTTTGTACTCCAGCATGGAGAGGGGTTGAGGTCTGTAACATTTAGCGCAGAATTCTGAACATCATCTGCTATTGGGTGGTGCAGAATGAAATTATACAGGATGCTGATCTCATTTAATGGTCCTTCACTGAGATTTGGGGTTTCCCTGCTCTCTTTGCTGAATCAAGTCACTACAGTGACTCGAGGGACAGATGGGGACAGTGAGTGAGCGTGTGTAGCAGTTCTTTTTCCCCTGGCAGCAGCAGGTTCACTTGTCCTTGTTTCCTGTTACGGGAAAGGGTGGGCTAGAAACAGAGTCTGACTTCTTGTTTCTGTTTTGCAGTGGTACAGAAAACCAGACTACAAGTTTTTTGAAAGCTATAAATTGTATCGTAGTACACATCCAGAGCAGCCTTTCTATATCCTGAATCCAAAAATGCAGTGGCAGCTCTGGGATATTCTGCAGGAGAATTCCCTGGAGCATATTCAGCCTAATCCACCATCGTCAGGAATGCTTGGTAAGATAATTGCCCTTGAAATTGCTCATTCAGTTTGGAAGCAGGAACTCTCTGGGATGCCTTTTTTCAAAGACAACTACAGATTTATGGTGCTTATCAGAGTTGCTTTTGCAGTGTTTAACTTGTGCCAAAATTTAAGCTTCCTGTCATTAAAGTAGCAGCTCAGTTGTGTTAAAGTAAGTGGTTTGCTGCACCCCTCTGACACAGCAGTTACAAACATAGCCTGGTTCCACATGGAAACAGGAGAGCAGCCTGCAACATTGAGATGATCCCCAGGATTTCTGGCTTCTAGTGCCAGGGCAGTTCCCACGGGGTGCAAGAGGAAGGATACAGCTCCTGTGGGCTCAGATCTTGTCAGGCAGATAAATCTGGTGACTGAAGATGAAATCAAAGTGTTTGCCTGTTTATGCTTTCCATGTATAAATATGGAAAAAATATATATAGCTGAAGACTTACTGGGGGGCTGGAGGTGGTCAGACTGAATCAGGTCAGGCCCTGAAACGTTCAGTGATATCCCCCCTTAGTCAGCGTGCTAACATCTTGTTTGTCAACATGTTAAATCCAGCCTCTCGGCGAAGGGGCTCATTTTACGTTGTACTTTTGCAAAGCTCTTCCTTCTTTTTGGAGAGCAGATCTCATGACCAGCTGAGTAAAAAGGAGTGAACTTCTCAGGAAGTTCATGTGTATTTGGAATCACAGTGCAGACGTATGGTCTTGTTTGCCACGTGGATGTCCCAGCTGCTGTGCTTCAGCCCCTCCTCTGCTCCCGTCTGTGCTTCCACCGCTGCTGGGGCACAGGCACCTTTCTGCTTCTGTGTCAGCAAAGTCACTTCTTATTTGTGCCAGTCCAATGTCTGGGTTTCTTCCACAACCTTGCTCTTGCCCAGTGCCTGTCACATAATTGCCGGGATATGTGCAGAACGACTGTGTGATGGCATAGCCAATGACTTCAGCAACAAAATTGTTACTTGGAGTTTGGGGCTTGAAGGTGGCCACTGGGCCATGTCAGACAGCGCATTTCTCTGTGGCTTAACTTTGGGCCAAGCTAGCAGCTTTGTAAAACAAGTCACCTCGCCAGACTCAGGGGCATAGACAAATTCCAGTTTGCAGCTCTGGGTTTCCTGGAAAGTGGCCTAAGTGTGCATGAAAATTGTCATTTGAAAAGGTGGATGAAAACCTGTTTAAAATGCACCTTAGCTAAACTGGGTTCATGGATGGGTTCTTCTAATGTCTTGTAAAGTGTGTTCCTCTGTGCATGGTCCCTGATGTCTCAGATACTGCAGGAATTTTCTGTGATACTGTACATTGGCTGCATTTCCATGGTATTTTCTTTCTAATTCTTGCACTTGTAAGAAAAGTAGCCAATAACTGTGGCTTACTCCTGCTCTGGCCAGCAAGTTGCCAGGGCTGTGCCCAGCATTGGAGTGAATGTCCTGCGTGGTTCCCGTGGCTGTCAGAAGTCACAGGAGGGCAGCACCGCTCTGCTGCGGGGACCCCGGGGAGCAGAGCCTGCTCAGCCTCCCTCAGCCTCTCCAAGCCCCATCACTTTCGCACCCCTACCTTCACCGAAGGCGGCTGGGGAGGAGGTGAAGGTCTCATCGCCACTTACCCGAGCAGGTTTGAGATGCGGGGCTCTTTGGATCAGCTAATTGCCGTGTGTGGTTGGCAGATGCCCAGGTTTCCATGGAGGTCACGGGGAATGGTAGCACCGTAAACAATCTGCTGTAATCGAGTCAGTCATGGGCTTTGCTTCAGAAAACAACCTAGTCTGGCCAGACTTGTGTTCCCCCCTCTAGTCTGAACAGTCAGAAAGGAAGCCCTTCCCCTGGGAGCTGGATGCTCCTTGCTGACCGCTGGTTTCGCTGGAATGTTTCGTCAGCTCTCCGGCTTGTCTTCAGAAAACAACCTAGTCTGGCCAGACTTGTGTTCCCCCCTCTAGTCTGAACAGTCAGAAAGGAAGCCCTTCCCCTGGGAGCTGCTCCTTGCTGACCGCTGGTTTCGCTGGAATGTTTCGTCAGCTCTCCGGTGTGACGTGGCGATGTCTGCTTTCTTCCCCTCCCTAGGCATCGTGATCATGATGACGCTCTGTGATGAAGTCCACGTGTACGAGTTTCTCCCTTCCAAACGGCAGACGGACATTTGCCACTACTACCAGAAGTTTCACGACCGTGCCTGTACCATGGGAGCTTACCACCCCCTCCTGTTTGAGAAAAACTTGGTGAAGCATCTAAACCAGGGCACAGATGAGGACATCTATATTCGTGGGAAAGTCACTTTGCCCGGCTTCCGAAACGTGCATTGCTAGCCAATCAGTTTTCAGCGTGTTTAGGAATTTTTCTGGACTGTCAAAGCACTTTTTAAATCAGGGTTGTCAGATTTTTTTTTTTTTTAAGGTCTAAGCACTGGTGTGTTTTGACAGCTCTTCCATGTCGCAACACTTGCTCTTAGGGCTTTGTTGCCTAACTTCTCCCAGCTGTGAGGCGGTTTTAAGACATTATGGTACATCCACACAGTATCTGCATGAGCCACTGCAATAAATTTACTCCTGGTGGAGCCAGGCTCTTGCAGCAGGTGGATCTCTCTGTCTTCATCTCAACCGGCGAGGGTGTATGGGAGGCACAGGAGATGCTTTCTAAGCAGAGATTGCACAAGTCAGATCGAATGCTGAACAGTTTGCTTCAAATGGGCTATGGCTGGTGAAAACCTGGTCTGTTGAGAAACAAGAAAAATAATTTAAAGCTTGTTCCCATAGTTGTAGGAGCTCTTTGAAGCAGGGCTGATTTATGGGGACACTATCAAAGCTGCGTACTGATAAGCTAAAATCTTGGTCCAAAATAGTTGATTTTATAAACAGTAAAATAACTGTGGCAACTTCCTTTCAAATTGTAAGACTGCTTGAAACCATTCAGGTGGCATTTTTGGCAAAAGAAGGGGGAGACAATTCAGTGATTCTTGCAAGACTTTTTAATCTTTGTACTTTTGTTTTTAATCGCTTAAAATAAATTTTAGTGAACGTTTACTTCTCCAGAACAGTGCTGTGCTTGGCACAGAAGAAGCCTTATTTCAAAAACTTGTTTGGGGAGATGCTCTGAGGCGGAAGTGTGAGAACTCACTGGAAGTCGGTACCTCTTTCCACCTCTCTGCTAGTCTACCTTTGCAGCTATTGGCAAATTACTTGCTGGCTCGTCTCCGGTAACAGAAATGCCATGTAGGCACTGGCCAGCTGAGTCCCAGTTCTCTGCAAGCTAACTAAGGTGATCTCTTGGTTGTTGTGTGCGTTTTGAATAGGTGGGGAGCAGATGCATCGCCCCTGGGCTTCATGAGCGGTGGGGAGGGAGCGTGTGCTCAGCTTCTCACGCCGAAACCCAGGCAGAATTGAGGAGGGCAGCTCTTCCCTGCTCAAGGGGACCGTCCCGTGGCAGCACAGTGGAAGTGGTAGCTCTGTGATCTCTGTACGTCAGTCAGTGAGAACACCTTCCCTGTCATCTCCCATACAAATGTGTTTCATGTTGTCTGTAAAGAGAGCTTTTTCTTCTCCTGTTTTGAATAAATCCTGTGAAGCCATTGGCCCATTCTTGCCTTGATGACACCAGCATAGATGTCATTGCTCGGTGGTCCTGGGAGCTAGTGCCAGCCTGGCAGCAGTGCAGGCAGAGCTGGGAGGGAGCTGCTCAGCTCAGTTCAGTCAGCCCGCAGCTCTTGCCCTGTCTTGGGAAGAGGACTGCTGCTGAGCTGTTCCTCCGGCTCTGAGGCTGGCTTTCTGCGTGCCCATCTGTTGGGGTGGATTGGATCTGTCAGTGTTTACAAATTGTACGTCATGTCATAGATATATGTAAAAATATTCAGGACCTTACGCTGCTGCTCAGGGGCACAAGGACAAGAATGTGCTGAAGCCCATGACCAGTTGACTTTTGTAAACGTTCATTTTTCACTCTTAGGAAAGGGGAGAGCTTTTGGAGGAGAAGCCAGCAGTGGTTTTTTGAGTGCACCATAGCAAACCTCTTTCTATCTCCACTCGTAGTTTGTAGCAGTCCTACCTCTGGCCCTTGGATCAAGGGGTTGCTGCGACCACCATTTGCCTTCTTAAGATGTTCTTCACTGGAATTCAGACTGCCCTTTTCTCCTGGGCTGTCTCACTTGTTATTTCTCACAACCACATTTTTCCTCCATCTTCCCTGTTGGGGGTGACCGGACCATCCACCCTGCCTCGGCTTGGGCTGTGTCATGGGTGCATGGTACCTTGATGTACCTGGGAAGCAAGGACGGTCTGCCTGGTGCTCACCTGTGGGTCCCCCAAACCAGCTCCTCCTTCACAGTACTCCTGCAAGAAGGCAAATGGCATACGGCCTCCCCAGGGTCTTGCACAGCCCTCAGTTACTTACGGCAATGGTGTTGCACTGGGCATGAAATTTCCGGCAGACATTACGTTGACAATTTTAGCTAGAATCCAACATGTGATTCATTTACAATCTAAACAGAGTTTTATAGGAATTAACACAGAGCCTAAAATAGGCCAGTGTTAACCCTCATGGGGTTTTTTTCTTTCTTTCTTTTCTACTCTTTTTGGCTCCATAGATCCAAATCTAGTATAAATTGCAAGTGACGACAAGGTTAGTATTTAGAGGAGCCAAGTTGAAGTTATTTGGCAATAATAGCTAGACTGTAAAAATAGCCTCATCCCTCCTGCAGTCTCCAACCTTTTCCAGACAACAGCTTTGTGTCCATGTGGAAAGCAGGGAGGGGGCAACGCTGCCCTTTCCACTGATGGGCCAAGTACTGGGATGGGTGCTCCATAATGATTTGGGGAGGGTCAGCAAGTCAGGGTAAGGGGAGAATGAAGGCATTATTTTAGTTTTTGATGTAGGAAAGATCTCTTGATTGTGGTGTTATTTCTGTTACTGAATATTATTAAATTAATATGTATTTTGTATTAATCAGCTGTGCTTATTTTAGTAAGACAGTGGATTGGCCAATGAACACTGTCAAGATGTTATTTCTAAGTGTGGGCATGTATCAGTCCTTGCTTGCCATTTTGAAAGCCTAGCTAATCCAGGTTTAAGAAATCATTTTAAACACCTAGAATTCCAAAACCAGAGATGGTTTCTGAAGAAAACCTCAACCTTTCAGAAGACTTTTGGTAATTGAGTGTTATGACTTATTTAGACAAGGCAGTAGAAACTGATTTGTGACATTAAGACATGAGGAAGCGAAACGTTTTTTCTTCATAAATATAGCCATCTTAGAAAAGGGTCTAGTCTTAAATTGTTAACATGGAATACGGACCAAAGATTGGCCTTGGTCTGGCACTCCAGCTGGAAACCGCTTCTTCCTCTTTGCCTTGACCCCAGAGGAGGAGAGGTAAGTGCAGCTGCCAGGGACTCATGGTTGGATGAAGAAATACTTGGGCAGTTTAAAAGCAATGGCAGTGTGTTACTGGCAGAGGAACTTTGGACTTCATTGTCTTTGAAGGAGAGCTTTCATTGTCTGGGCTGACAAAACTGCCAGTGGGTTTTTTTTATTTGCTTTCACTAGAGAGGAAAAAAGGGAGAAAATTCCCAGAAATTCAAATAGTATGCACCTGAGTCAACACACCCTTCGTCACCTCCCCTAGAATAATAGGGTGGTTGAGAGGGAACTAGATCTGACAAGACACTGGTATATCAAAAGCGATGGCTAAAAAAAATACATACTCCCTGAGGAGAAACACAAGCCACCTCAGCCAAATACCCCTTCTTCTTTTCTGTGTGTGCACCCAACTAAAGGTGTGTGTACAAGCCAGAGGCTCCTTATTCTCTGTTGTGGACCATGAAGCCTGACTCCCTTGGCCAGCACTTGGGATGTTTGTTTTCACTTGTGAATTGTACCAGCCTGGCAGGGAAACATGTTCACTTGTTTCAGGTGATGATATAAGGCACAGAGTGGAACAATCAGGCTCCACTTTGGGGTAGATCATTCATGTGAGTGGCCATATATATCTCACATCCTAGCAAACGCTCCAGAACCAGTATGGCACAGGGATGGATACAACCTAGGGCATTCGTAGGGGAGATGAAGGTGGTTAAGAGCTTGTGGGGGTGTGGACATACTAACTGGTGTCCTGAGACAGAGGCTGCCTGCAGTCACCACATGCAGCATGGCCAGTGAGCTCAGGGGGAAATGCTGGGCTTTTGTGCCCCAGCCCAGGGGAGACGGAGCCATGGATCAGAACTCCCTTGTGAGGTCAGGACTTGCAAGGAGGAGGATGTGCGTGTTTCTGAGATGCAGGTGAAGGAAAACTGGTAAGTGGCCCTCTCTGCTCTGTTCTTGTAAGCCACTAATAGTTTCTTGTCTTTTGAACTCAACAAGCTGCTTTGTAGCCTTGTGAAAGGTGTGGAAATGGGTTCGATGCACAAGGCTCTGACTGGATCGATCGTCCACCTGTTTGCTTTTCGGAGCATGTGTGCTGACAGGCCTTCACCTGCCTGCAGGCAGCATGCACCCCACAGGAGAGTAAACACTCCTGCCCGCGTCTGGCAGAGGGGTAAGTGTCGCAAGGGGATATTCATGCCTCCACGTTTTCTGTGAGGTTGCATCTGTTTGCTTGTCTAATCTTGTCCCGCAACTTCATGTGTGATAAAGGGGGAATTTCATGTCGATTGTGTCTTTCCACAGCCAGGTGAGACTTAGCGCTCTACCGTTAACTTGCGTTCAGTGTATAATAAACAAAGCTAACGCGGGAAGAAAATCTAAGCAATGAGTATTTGGGGGGAAAAAAAAAGTCCTCTGTTCATGGTATGTTTTGGGAAGATACACAGGTGTTTGCAAAGACAGAATGGAAGGTGAACAGGGAAAAAACGACCTCAGAAATTGTTTGGAAAAGTGTGTGTCTAGTGCAAATTGTTCCAAGTAACTCTCTCAAAGCCAGAGAAGGGAAGGAGCAGGGGGAGTTGACAGAAAGTGGTTTGGTTTGGTGCGAGTAACTTCTGGCAGAAACTAGTTCTCTTTAAACAGAAATAGATACTTCCCAAAACGCAGTGAACTTGGCTTGCTGTGTCCGTGCCAGCTCTGAGCGTGCTGCTGGTTTTGAAGGTCGGTGTGCACTGAAAGCTGTGCTTCTGGGAACAAAGGCGTCTTGAAATGACTGTATTTCCATTCATGTAAACATCTTGCGGTGCTTTTCCTGCCTTGCCCTGACATCCTTTACAGTAGCGAGGCACTTCCACGAGCCAACGCCGGTTCAACCTGTGACGAGCTCCTTTCCAGTAGATGCTGACGGCTGTTCTGCAGGTCAGAAACAGATACAATTTTAGCACAGGGGTGCGTAGTTTACAGTTTCAAGGAATTCTAAAACCTCCTGTGGGCTTGTGAAGCCCCTGGGGTGGAAAATAGTTTTCTATAACAGACCAATGGGAGCTTTCAAAAAGCTCTGTCTGTGTTGGTCGCTCTATAAACA